TTATGCATTTAGTCAGGCGAGGTGGTGCCTGCCTGTAGTCTCAGCTGCTCAGATTAGCTTGAGACCAGGAGTTCAAGGTCAGCCTGGGCAACACAGCAAGACTTTCTCCAAAAAATTTTCTAAAGGACTTGTGCATTTCACTGTATGTATGCTTTACACTGAAAAACTATAAACAAATATTGAACTCTAGTTCATGATATGCATGTCAAAGTATTTAGGGGAAAATATACTGACATCTGAAATTTACTCTGAAAAGCACTCCTGAAAACATGTGTTAATGCAGAGGCCAGCAAATTGTCACGTATTTTTATAAAGAATATTTTACTGGAACACAGCCACACAGTTTTTGGTGTGTGTTTTTTTGTTTTGTTTTGTTTTCTTGTTTGAGGCAGGGTCTCACACTGTTGTTCCGACGGGAGTGCAGCGTGACATCATCATGGCTTACAGCAACCTCAAACTCCTAGGCTCAAGTGATCCTCCTGCTTCAGCCTCTGAAGTAGCTGGGATAACAGGTATACAGTACCATGTCCAGCTAAATTTTTTCTTTTTTTTTGTAGCAACAGGGTCTTGCTATGTTGCCCAGGCTGGTTTCAAACTTCTGGCCCTAAGCAATCTTTTTGCCTTGGCCTCTCAAAGTGCTAGGATTACAGGTGTGGAGCCACTGTGTGCAGCAACCCTTTCATTGATATATTATTTATGGCTAGTTTCCTGCTACAAACGCAGAGTTGAGTAGCTGTGTGAGAAATATTTACTATTTGGCTCTTTGAAGAAAAGTCTGCTGACCCCTTTGCTGAGAGATAGATAAATGGTATGTGATACAGCAAGCATAGTAAAATGTTAAAGGCAGTTTCAGCATCACCTTTCTTTCCAAGAAAAAAAAAAAATAGGCTCTGCATACCGGGCGGAAGGTATGGATTTTTTAAGGTCGTCTCGCCTGAAAGCATATCCTGTAAAATTCTTTTGACTTGGGCTGGGCGAGGTGGCTCACACCTGTAATCCTAGCACTCTGGGAGGCCAAGGCAGGCGGATATAGTTTGAGCTCAGGAGTTGGAGACCAAGCCTGAGGAAGAGGGAGACCCCACCTCTACAAAAAAAAAAAAAAAGAAAAGAAAAAATTAGCTGGTGTGGTGGCTCATGCCTGTAATGTAATCCTAGCACTCTGGATTGCTTAAGGTCAGGAGTTCAAGACCAGCCTGAGCAAGAGTAAGACTTCGTCTCTACTAAAAATAGAAAAATTAGGGTGTGGTGGCACATGCCTGTAGTCCTAGCTACTCTGGAGGCTGAGGCAGGAGGACTGCTTGAGCCCAGGAGTTTGAGGTTGCTGTGAGCTAGGCTAACGCCACAGCACTCTAGCCCTGGGTGACAGAGCAAGATTGTCTCAAAAAAAAAAAAAATTCTTTTGACTTTGCTGTTGTTTGAATATTTTTAGTATAAACTGTTGGAAAAATATAAATTAATTTGAAAATTCAGTTATTATTTTTTAATATTAAAATGGTAAAACTATTCTCTATTACTAAGAAAACTCCAAATATCAGGCTGACATAGAAACCTCCCTTATAACGACTGTGAAGGTATAAAGTTTACAAGAGACTGCTGGGCACAGTGGCTCATGCATGTAGTCCCAGCTACTTGAGAGGCTGAGACAGGAGGCTTGCTTGAGGCCAGGAGTTCATTCTAGACCAGCCTGGGCACCATAGTAAGACCCTGGCTGAAAAAAAAAATTACAGGTTTTATTCACAGTTGATAAAGAAACAAGTCCCCTTTCTATTTACACAGATGGTTCTTCTGGGGAAAACAGCTGACAAAGACCAAAGTTTCTCACAATCAGCCTTTCCTTGAGCTCATGGTCCTTGTTTTACTCAGTCTAAGACTAACAAACTCTAAAGTTAAAGCTATTCCTGTAAACCACACACTACCAAATAGACTAGTTTACAGATACCATGGTTGGTTGAGTCTCTTGACTGACCAGCCAGATTCCCAGGGAGGACTGTGGAAATGTCTTCAGAAGCCTTTTTTTGGTAGGAGTGTGTAGGGGAAATCTAATCCCAATCTTCCTGACTGCACATTCTGGGATTCCTCAATAGGCCTAGCACCTCAGCCACTCATGTGGTTTTAGTGTGCGGCCTTCCAAGTAGAGGAGAAACAGGAAATCTGAAGGCTCACTATTGCTACAGACCGAATGTTCATGTAACTTCAAAATTTGTACGTTAAAACCTAATTCCCAGTGTGATGGTATTAGGAGGTAAGGCCTTTGGAGGGTTATTAGATCATAAATGGAATTAGTGCCCTTATGAAAGAGACCCTAGAAAGCTCTCTCTCTCCTTCTACCATGTGAGGAAACACAAAGAAGACAGCCATCTATTAATCAGGAAGTGGGCCTCTCATCAGACACCAAATCTGCTAGTACATCTTGATCATGGACTTCCCAGACTTCAGAACTATGAGAAATTTCCATTGTTTATAAGCCACTCAGTTTATGATGTTTTGTTATAGCAGTCCAAATGCACTAGGATACCTATCCTCAGTATGCAGCCATTGCTCTCTATTTCCACCACCAAGAGAAGGCCCAGGGTATAGAGCCTATGCTAGGCCTTGCAAACACATACCATTCACAAGAAGTGCTCGACACCTGAAGTCTTCACTGAGAAGCAGTAACAAGAGATGCCCCATATCTGAGGTGTGGGAAGTAATCGCACATTTCCAGTGGATTAACTGCTATTGATGAAAATAACTACACACCAGCATCTACAGAGAAATCTCTTTCTTTATAGTGTAAATTCAGTCCCTCCAAACTAAGCCAGGGTCACACAAACCTAAGCATTTCCTTGCAACATGACCAACTGCATGGTCGTCAAATTACCAGCACTGTCTTGGAGAAAATGCCAAAATAGCTCAGAAAAATACAGTAGTCTCCCCTTATCTGGCAGAATATGTTATAAGATCCTCAGTGGATGCCTGAAACCATGGATTGTACTGAATCCAATTGCAGTCAATCAGAGTACATTTCTGTTCATGTCTTCCACCCACAAATATGATGCCTTTTCCGTCTTAACCAAGCACTTTTTTTTTTTTTTTGAGACAGAGTCTCGCTTTGTTGTCTAGGCTAGAGTAAGTGCCAGGGAGTCAGCCTAGCTCACAGCAAACTCCTGGGCTCAAGCGATCCTTCTGCCTCAGCCTCCCGAGTAGCTGGGACTACAGGCATGCGCCACCATGCCCGGCTAATTTTTTCTATATATTAGTTGGCCAATTAATTTCTTTCTATTTATAGTAGAGACAGGGTCTCGCTCTTGCTCAGCCTGGTTTCGAACTCCTGACTTCAAGCAATCCACCCGCCTCGGCCTCCCAGAGAGCTAGGATTACAGGCGTGAGCCACCGCGCCCGGCCTTAACCAAGCACTTTTGCACTGTGGCTGTAGTTTTTGCAGTATGAGATGTGACAGCAAAACTAGCGCGAATTTCTTTTTCCTTCTTTACAATTTCACAGATAGAAGATTCATTCTTACCACAGAGCTTTGGAACTTTAGCATATGATTGTTTTCTTTCCTTACTAAGTCAAGAACTTTCACCTTTTCATTTCAAAGAAGCATTTTATGGCTTCTTTTGGAATATCCAAATTATTTCACTTCTCTTATGCTCTGGGGCCATCATTAAGTAAAATAAGGGTTACTTTCATCACTTCGGTATGGCTCTCACTGGATGCGAAAGCTTGCCCACAGCCGCACTCACAGTCCGCACGGTAGTGTGTGCTGTGCATTGCTGACGAATCCGTTTTGCTCTTGTGTGATGAGGAAAGCTTTAACGCACTGAAAGCTTGTTTTACTTTACAGGCAGCTTTACTTGTAATGTAAATTAGAATAGGTAACATATACATATATGTTTTCATTATGTTATTTTTAAATGTTCACAATTTTATTTTGATAAATGAAAAATTAGAAAAGTCATATCACGGCTGTCAGCTAAAGTCAACACTCAGCTGTGCACCTTCATATCACGGCTGTTGGCTAAAGTCACTGTGCGCATTCATCTGTGGCTATCGACTATAGTCGACGCTTGTACCGAAGTGGTTAACATGACTAGTGCTAGATGTCTACTAAGTGACTGGGTGGGTAGTGTAGCGTATACAACAAGGATATGCTGAACAATGTGATGATTCACATCTCAGGTAGGACAGAGAAGGACGGCACAAGATTTGATCACACAACTCAGAGGAGCACACTATTTAAAACTTACAAGTTATTTATTTCTAGAATTTTCCATTTAATATTTTTGGACTGTGGAAAGCAAAACTGTGGATACAGGGGGACTACTGCACTAAAAGGCATCTGAAAGATCATGTCTGGGTTAAAATGGCCAACATGAAACATTTGTAAATAAGGTGAATCTAAAGTTTATGCCTCCTACAACTGTGGCTAAGATGCTAAAAACTGTTTAAGTGATAAATAGGAAAAAAGCTAAAAGACCATTATAAAAAAAATTTTAAAAATCAATGTTACCTGATCAAGATTTTTGAAAAGAAGAATATCTTTGCAAGCTTCCTGAAGTCTGCATCTCTGTTCATCAGTTTTAGGATGAATCACCTGTCAATCCAAATAAAACCAGGGAGATGTTTTTAAAATTTCATTTAAAAAGCACCCACTTAAAAACTGGTATATTTCTTTCCAAAAAGTGGGAAAAATTAAGAGCATATTTTCTGTAATTTTAATTCTACACAAATATAAAGCTGTACACTGAATGTGGAAGGACAATGTGATGCAGGGGCGAAGAGCACCAACCCTGGAGTGACCTGCTAGCTATGTGGCTGGCAGCAGGTCAGCAGTCTCCTGGAAGCCTCAGAGTCTTCATCTGTAAAGTGAAGTGTTATAAATTTGTTCATTCAACAAATATTGAGTACCGACTCAGTGCCAGGCAGAATCCTTGCTCTGGGGACACACCAGTGAACACATAGACGAAAACACCTGTCCTCACATTCAATAAATACGTGAAATATGTTAAAGTGTTAAGGCTAAGGGAGAAAAAAAAAAAGTAGGGAAAGAAGGTAAGAAGTGTGAGTGTGCAAATGTGTGTGTATGTGTGGCCATGTGAGGCCTCACTGAGAGGGTAACATTTGTGTAAATAGCTCAAGGAAGTGAGTACAACCTGAGGGAATGAGTCATATGCATATTTCTGTGGCAAGAGCACCCCAAGCAAAGGGAATGGGCAGTGAAAACAAGATTTTATGGTGCAAATGTGACTAGTAAATTTGAAAAATAACCAGGAAGCAGGTGTAGCTGATGCAGAGTGAGGGAGAAAGATTAGGAAACTGGATTGGGGGAGAGAGGCCCAAATCACAGAGAGCATTGTAGGTCACAGAAGAAATAGAACTTTCTCTAGGAACATGGGAATGATCTGAAGGTTCTGACTGAGGAAGGAAAGAGATCTAACGTTTTTAAAAGATCACACTGGCCACTGAGTAAAAAACAGCCTGGAGGAAAGCAAGAGTAGAAGCCAGAAACCTACAGTGACTATCCCAGTGCCAGATAGTGGTGGCTTGGACCAGGATGATAGCCATGGAAGTGTTGAGAAGTAGCAGAATTCTGAATATGTTTTGAAGACAGTACCCATCCAATTTACAGTATGAAAAAAGTGAGAGGAATTGAGATTGACCCCAGAGTTTTGAGAATAAGCAACTGGAACAATGGAGCTGACATGAATTAAGCTGGTAAAGATGAATATTTAAGAAGAAATAATCAGGAATTCATGCATAATAGTCTGAGTTGCCTATTGACATCTAAGTGGAGACGGTAAGTAAACAATGGCTATAAAGTCTAGAGTTCAAACATCAATAACTTTATTATTAGTAGCAGTAGTGGTATCTATCATGCAAATGAAAGCTGTTACAAGAATTATTAAATAAGTTAATACATATAGTGTTTCAAACAGTTTCTTCCATTTACTGGGTGCTCAAAAACTATTATTATTATAGAAAATAAATGCTCACTAAACAGAAATAATTATTGCCTAATATTGGTATTATATTTGAGACATATCAAACTCCTTCCTAAGTATTTTTGTCACTCTAAAAAAGGTACATTATTTAATCTGACCAGAAATAACACGTTAAGTATTTTTATGCCAGGCATGGTAGCTCACACTTGTAATCCTAGCACGCTGGGAAGCTGAGGTGGGAGGATCCCTTGAGGTCAGGAGTTCAAGACCGGCCTCAGCAAGAGTGAGACCCTGTCTCTACTAAAAATAGAAATAAATGATTTGGGCAACTAAAAATAGAAAAAAAAAAATAGCCAGGCCTGATAGCACACTCCTGTAGTCCTAGCTACTCCAGAGGCTTGAGCCCAGAAGTTTGAGGTTGCTGTGAGCTAGGCTGACACCAAGGCACTCTAGCGCAGGCAACAGAGCGAGACTCTGTCTCAAATAAAAAAAAACAAAGTATAAAGTATTTAAAATTTCTGATACTAAGTAAAATACTGTTTTAAGTTTTAAAAGTCATTAAGAATTTTACAATTTCTAGAATGAAAACATTTTTATTATATTCACATAATGGTAGCTTTTGTTTTAGAGACTCTTCTCACTCTGTCACCCTGGGTAGAGTGCCATGACCTCATCATAGCTCACAGCAACCTCAAACCCTGGGCTCAAGCAATTCTCTTGCTTCAGCCTCCCAGGTAGCTGGGACTACAGGTACATGCAACGATGCCCAGCTACTTTTTCTATTTTTATTAGAAACTAAGTTTTCTATTTTTAGTAGAGACGGGGTTTCACTCTTGCTCACGCTGGACTCCAAATTCCTGAGCTCAAGTGATCCTCCCATCTCAGCCTCCCAAGAGTGCTAGGATTACAGGCGTGAGCCACCATGCCGGGTGAATGGTAGCATTTTATTATGAGAATACTTCAGAAATCCCTCATAAGTTACTCATTTAAGGTATACATGATAGATCAATAATGTTTCTTTTATAATATCAATTTTTTAAAAATGATAGTTCATATTTACTTTCATAAAAGTAACTTATGCTAATTGTACAAAAGTTAAAAAAACTGAGTTTAAAAAAAAAGCATCCAAAAATCAACCATAGTCTTACCACAACCATTGTTAACATCTGGGGTATATCCTTCCACAGATACAATTCTATGTACATACATACAAATAAATAAATACATTAAATATTTTTTATTTTATAAAATGCTCTATAAAATGCATCTTATACAAACACACATTCCATGCCATCAATCCAGTCCTGTACAATCATTTTCAACATAGATTCTCTTGATTTGAATGTACCATAATTTAGCCCCTGGAAATGCTACATTTGGGGTCATTTAGGTTGTTCCCATTTTTCTATCTATCACGTCTCTAAAAGGTTTGTAGATGTCAATTTCTTTTCTTTTTTTTTTTTTTTTTGAGACAGAGTCTCACTCTGTTGCCCAGGCTAGAGTGCCATGGTGTCAGCCTAGCTCACAGCAACCTCAAACTCCTGGGCTCAACTAATACTCTTGCCTCAGCCTCCCTGGTAGCTGGGACTACAGGCACGTGCCACCGTGCTCAGCTATTTTTTCTATTTTTAGTTGTTTGGCTAATTTCTTTCTATTTATAGTAGAGACGGGCTCTTGCTCTTGCTCAGGCTGGTCTCCAACTCCTGAACTCAAGCAATCCTCCCGCCTCAGCCTCCCAGAGTGCTAGGATTACAGGCATCAGCCACCGTGGCCGGCCGTAGATGTCAATTTTTATTAATACATCCTCAAGAAGGCTCTAACTGCTCATTAGGAATGTTCACTAGTTAACCTTTAGGTTAACTGCTGATGCAGTTGGCTTAACTATGTTTAAGGCTTCTGACAGCTACAGCTAGGCTCCTCTTTTCGCCACATCCTTATACAGTGCTGTTTTCAATCTATTAGGTTTAATTTGTATTTATTTATTATTTGAGACAGAGTCTCAATCTGTTGCCTGGGCTAGAGTGCCATGGCTTCAGCCTACCTCACAGCAACCTCAAACTCCTGGGCTCAAGCAATCCTTCTGCCTCAGCCTCACGAGTAGCTGGGACTACAGGCATGTGCCACCATGCCCGGCTAATTTTTTCTATATATTTTTAGTTGGCCAATTAATTTCTCTCTATTTTTATTAGAGACAGGGTCTCGCTCTTGCTCAGGCTGGTTTCGAACTCCTGACCTTGAGCGATCCGCCCACCTCAGCCTCCCAGAGTGTTAGGATTACAGGCGTGAGCCACCGTGCCCGGCCTAATTTATATTTATTTTAATTATCAGCATGACTAGATTTTGGTGTTTAGAGGAGGGGAGTCAGTGTGAAATACAACAATTCTACCTAATATCTTTATTTTGGTTCTTACCTTTGGTTCAGATTCTTCTTCTTCATCATCAGGGTTATAAGTCTCAGCACAGACTAAAATTGGAAAGAAAAAACAAAGAGAAAAATGAATTTAACAGATGTGTGATTTTAGAGAAAATAAAATAGTAAGTCAATTATTATTTCACTTTTTATTCATTGTTTTCAAAGTTGTAATGATCTTTTTACATTCCTTCTTTCAATGAATAGATACGTTAAGTACCTACCAGTGTCAGGCATTCTCAGGTGCTGAAAACCCTGCTCTCTAGAGATTGGTGGTCCCAAATAGGACAAAGATGATGAGATATACCACCTACTAAATCCTAAGGTACTGTAGTGGCAAGAACAAACAAGGAGGTATTGTCTGTTGAGTTATGAGGCAGGGGTAAAAAAAAAACATGATGTACAATGTATGCAGTATAAATACAGAGCTATGGAAGCAATTACCAAAAGAATCAATTAACATAGTTCAAAGTCATTATGTGCATGTATAACTTAAAAATAAGAATAAATTTGAAAACAAAACAAATACTATGTGTCAGGTTCTGTTCTAAGTATAATTTTATATAAACCTAAAGCCAACCTGATTCTCTTTGTAGGTAACTTGCGTTTGTGCCAGTTGCCTATAGGCCTGCTCTTTGTCACTGTAATTCGGAGATTTAAAAAATATTCATTGCAACTTTATAATACCAAAATATCAGAAATGATATAAGTATACATTTGAATAATGCAGCTATAAGAAAGAATGAAGAAAGTTTCATGGGCTAATATTGAGTGAGTTCTAAGGAAAAAGAAAAAAAAAAAGAAAAAAAGCAAGGTGAAGAAGAGTATATAGTATATATAGTATACTATGCCTTCCATAAGAAAGAACTTCCATTAGCAAGAAGGAAAGCTAAGAATGGAGGGAAAATAAATATATAAATATATATTTTTTACTTGTTAATTTCTCCAAAAGGAAACAATTTGGGAACGATAAACCAGAAAGCAATGAAATTGTTTTCCTAGAGTGCAGGTAGAAACAAGAAGGATAGGAAAGGAAATTAAACTTCTCTGAGGAAATTATTTTATATTAAAAGGTTTTTTTGACATGTAACCCATGTTAATGTTTCACATTTTTAAAAAATTAAATTAAACTGATAAAGAGGACCCTAAAACCAAATACAAGAAACAAATAAACCTAACCATGTAACAGGCTGACAATATAACCACAGGGAAGGAAAGAATTATATATATATATTATATTAATATTACAGAATAAATATAATAAATCTATATTATATATTAATTGGAGTCAATCACCTACATAGTCCCAGGCATAGTGGCATGGCATCACCTAGCTCAAATACAGCCACAAGCAAATAACACATCCTTGACCTCAAGTACAATGAGTAAGCTGAGAACTAAAGCATGCCCGACCTCCGGATAATTTTTACCATATATTTTTATAGTTGGCCAATTAAATTTCTCATTTATTAGTAGAGACGGGTACTCATGCTCAGCTGGTTTCGAACTCCTGACCTGGAGTTGAACTCCACTCTCAGCTCCAGAGCTGGGATTACAGGCATGAGCCACCACGCCCAGCCAGCCTCTTTTTTTTTTTTTTTTTTGAGAAAAGAGTCTCACTTTGTTGCCCAGGCTACAGTGAGTGCCATGGCGTCAGCCTAGCTCACAGCAACCTCAAATTCCTGGGCTCAAGCGATCCTGCTGCCTCAGCCTCCCAAGTAGCTGGGACTACAGGCACATGCCACCGTGCTCAGCTATTTTTTCTATTTTTAGTTGTTTGGCTAATTTCTTTCTATTTATAGTAGAGACGGGCTCTTGCTCTTGCTCAGGCTGGTCTCCAACTCCTGAACTCAAGCAATCCTCCCGCCTCAGCCTCCCAGAGTGCTAGGATTACAGGCATCAGCCACCGTGGCCGGCCGTAGATGTCAATTTTTATTAATACATCCTCAAGAAGGCTCTAACTGCTCATTAGGAATGTTCACTAGTTAACCTTTAGGTTAACTGCTGATGCAGTTGGCTTAACTATGTTTAAGGCTTCTGACAGCTACAGCTAGGCTCCTCTTTTCGCCACATCCTTATACATTGTGGTTTTCAATCTATTAGGTTTAATTTGTATTTATTTATTATTTGAGACAGAGTCTCAATCTGTTGCCTGGGCTAGAGTGCCATGGCCTCTCAGAGTGCTAGGATTACACAGGCGTGAGCGTTCAGCCTCTTTTAAAAAAAAAATTTTTTTCCGGAACATTTCAGGGTTACAAATGCTTTGGTCACGTGCGTTGCCTTTGCACCACCAGAGTCAAAGCTACAAGGGTGCCCAATCCCCAGACAAGCGCGCAGCACACCCACCAGGTGTGAATTTACCCATCCCCTCCATCCCCCTCCCACTTGCCCTATCCTGCATGAACGTTACTTCCACCTGTGCACATAAGTGTTGATCGATTATTACCAATTTAATGGTGAGTACATGTGGTGTTTGTTTCTCCATTCTTGTGAGGGAAAGAAGAATTATTCTATGCAGGCAGTGAACATAGTAAGTGGGGTCTACTGAATCCTAACAACAAAAAAGAATTGCTATTGGTGATCGATAACTATTCCAAACTCTTTTGTGTGTATTACAGTAGTGAGTACATAAATAAACCCACATTTTTTTCACTGGAGAGAAAGGGAATACAAATATGGAATGGAGGAAAAAATACAATTGGAGATGTCAATACAAATCATGATTTTAAAATCTTACCCTTAGGTGTTAGTGGCAAAGTCAATGAATTATCTAGTGAATAAAGAGTTTTGTGTTAACAAAATTGTGTTTCCAAGAATGAACTAACAGTGATCACTGGTTTCTCAGAATGCAGCAAACCTGTTTCCTCTTCACAACACAGGCTATTACAGCTGGAGTAAGTTTTCTTCTAATAAATTCTCAAGTATCTGTAGTAGCTGTGTGACCAGAGGTGATTTACTACAATTTCCACCCTCTCCTCTATATATTGGAGCTAACAATTTCTCACTGTCAGAAGGATTCAAGTAGGCAAGTGTCAGGCACATGGTAAGGATGCAGTAAATGCCAACTCTTTGAACTATTACTATCATTACTACTGTTCCATTTGTTCTGATGTTCAGGAATAATAATTATTGTTGCCTTGGTTCTGTTCTCTATCTCAGTTCTTTCAACAACTGTCCTTTCTTCAAGGCTGCCTGCCCTCCATCACAGATTTTTGACCCTACTCACATTTGTGTGTTAGCTAAAAGACCCCATATATCTACAACTAGTGGACAAGTTGATACATACCATTCCCAATTTAATTTTCAGTTTCTTGGAGACATTTACCCCTTGCAGCCCAATTTCCACTTACTGACTGATTTTCTGAAATAATAAAATACCTGAGAATGGTGGCTAAGGCAGGGAAGGGCAAATCCTACAGGACATGCCAGAAGCATGAGCCAGGAAAGTAACCATGGGATGTAGGTAATGACTCACTAACTTTCTCCATGCATTCCTCTTTCCTGGAGATGAGGTCAGGGTGTATATACCTCAGTTCTGCCCTAAAGATTAAGGCAGACATCTACCTTAGTTTCTAGCCATTTTTATTGCCACTTTTTGCATCTTCATAGGTATTTTAGTGGGTGATTGGGGAAGCTACATCAAGGGGTATCTAACCGGACATTATGTTAAACTGCAAGCTTCTTGGTTCTCTGTGCTCTTGATTAAGGTCATTTTCAGACCAGTTTTCTAACTGAAAATTTGGAATTCATCATGACTTCCTTCTTTCACCTCTTATTCAATGAATACATCACACTCTGCTTCAGAAATATTTTTCATATGTGACCTTTATTCAGTCTATTCCAACTGCTACTTCTTGGTCTAAGACTTCAAAACAACTACTTAATAAAACTTTTTAAAATATTTTACTTCAGGAGACAGATGAGTACACAGATATTATACTTTATATACTTTTGTGTATACAATGTTTCATTTAAAAGGTTTAAAAATATTGAATATGATGAATCTGATCAATATTAAAAAGGTTTGAGAAAGCCTTCAATAATGAGACTGATAGGATTTTACTGATGACACTTAATCTTGGGCTAGCCAACTTCTAGGTTTGCTTTTCCTCCAGTTTTGAAGGAAAGTACTTTAGCAACTTAGCTCATTTTTATATTTTTAGACATTAATATAATGGAGGTAGAAAATGTTAATTATAATTTTCAAGTCTTAAGATACAGCACTGTGATTTAAATAAAATTATTTTCATTATAATTATCAATATGTTTTTTCTTCTTCCTTCTTTTCTTTCTTTCATAAGTTATCCTAAATATGTTTCTATTTGTGGAAAAACATTATGCCTCAATTTTCCAAAACTGTTTTTAAATTTTCTTCCCTTTTTTTTTTTAAATCTCTTTTTTTTTTTTACACCAGAGACCGAGTCTTACTCTGTCACCCAGGCTGTAGTGCAGTGAATTGATCATAGCTCACTGTAACCTATACCTCTTGGACTCAAGCAATCCTCTTGCATCAGCCTCCAAAGTAGCTAGGACTATAGGCACATGCCACCATGCCCAGTTAGGTTTTTTTTTTTTTTTAAGAGATGGGGTCTCGCCATGTTGCCCAGGCTGGTCTTGAACTCCTAGCCTCAAGCAATCTTCCCAAATCAGCCTCCCAAAGTGCTGGGATTACAGGCATGAGCCAACATAACCAGCCCTCTTTTCTATCTTTTTATTTCTTTATTATGGTAAGAACACTTAACATGGGAACTAACCTCATAATAAAATTTTAAGTGCACAACACAGTACTGTTAACTAATAAGCACAATGTTGTACAGCAAATCTCTAGAACTTATTCATCTTGTATAAGGAAAACTTTGTACCCATTGAACAGCAACTCCATGTTTCTCCCTCTTACCAGTTCCTCCCAGCTACCATTCTACTCTGTTTCTATGAATTTGACTTTTTAGACACCTCAGTATTTGTTCTTTTATCATTGGCTTACTTAGCATAATGTTCTTTTTTCCCCTTTTTTTCCTTTTGAACGCTTGACTCACCTCCCTTTGCCTTCTTCCTCTGTTCCCACCTAATCTCTCTACTTCCTGGTCCCAAATTACTTCCCTCACTTTCTATGTAAAAACCCATC